ATCTATTCATTCAATCTTTATTTAGACAGGTTAATCCCACTGAGCCTCGAGGACTCATTTACAAGAGAGACCTGATTTTAACGGCGTGATGACAACAGTGGACAACAAAAGACAATCATAAAGGATGCATACAAATTTAATTATTTTTTTAACAAGTGAAAATAAAATGGTAATTAAAAGGAAAAGTAACAAAAAAAAAAACAACTATAACAGCTATATGCAAGGAGGTGCAGGATACAATCTAGCTGTTTTTTAATCTAATGAGATTTTAGTTTAAAACTTCCATATATGAGTTTAAGGAGTACGAGACCTTTATCTGCACATTAATTTATCATGTTTAAAGCGTTTTAATGGGCGTCAAGGTCAAGTTTACACCTCAGTGCTCTAATTCAGTGGTGGCCGTGTCCCGGGCTTTAAGCCTGTTGTTTTCACTCTAGCCCACGTTATTTTGAACACGCTCGTGCATTCAGATTGGGGGCTTTGCTCAGAAGATGTTTTTTTTATTAGTCAGAGATTTACTGGGATTGTAAAAGTGCACTCAGGTTGTGATTACTGCATGCCACTCTGAAGCAGTTTGGTCTTTTAACTGTGAAACAGATGAATCCCAGCGAAGGAGAGGACGTCGGTACGTTAACCAAGATTTGTCTTAACTAGACTCCACTGCGGGCTGCGTTAAATTCATTCCAGGAGGACTTTAAGCACTTATTTATATGATAATGATGGCTGATGTTTGTTTTTGTGTTGATTTAAAATCCCCTTTAAGTGAATCCCCAGTCTGCAGAAGGTAAATGCCTTGCTCAGAGGCTCCCCAGGGCAGGTCTCATATGCAGTTTATCCAGCCAGTATTCCCTGCAGAAATCAGCCAATCTGCAAGTGCTGAAAGGCGTGATGGAGTTATGAGCCGGGCAGGGGCGAGCGTTGGATGATGGATGAGCTGCTGACAGCTCAAGGTGGCCACGTTGTGCGTCTCAGCCTCTCGACGACGGGAGAACGACCAGCCCAGTTGTCGGGATCATTTCATAACCCCTGATTGAATCCATATATGAGAGGGAGAAATCCACAGCAGGAGAAACACTCGGCCGGAGTCATTTTTCTGCAGAAATCTGCCCCACGAGGAGGAAAATCAGCACTTTTGTTTTCTTTTACTTTCATTCTAAGACGTTGATCTTTTGTAAACACGACGATGAGTGCAGATAAAACAAACTGGGATTTTTTTTGTGAGGGATTTTGTTTGCACAATAAAACTTTTTAAATGTTTGTTCACATTTCCTGACGGAAGGCAATAAAAGCTTTGTCTTCAAGTCCGTGACACTGCGCTAATTCTTTATTCAATAAATAATAATCAAAGCTTAGTCGCAGCACAACAGTTGTTTTAGTTGTAGCTTTGTCATTCAATTAAGACATTTCTTGATTTATGTATGAATTCCTCACTTTGATGGGAGCTGAGAGCTTAAGATTTATTATAAATCCATTTCCTTTGTAAGAATAAAAAAAACATACATATACTATGATTAATGACAGTAATTCTTTGCTTCTCTTCTCTGAGTGGCTGCAGATGAAACCTCATATTCAGCCTCGTGTTTTAATAAAATGATTTTAATCTGAGTTAGCTCTGGGCAACAGGACATCAATCTTATGAAATGAAAAACTTACAGTTCTGTGACTCCTCAGTCAACTCTTTGATGAAAAATAATTACGAAAAGTATTTTTTTGTATTCTTATCATAAAACGACCTCGCCAAAGCATCCACTGGTCCATTTTTTAACCCTCTTTCCTAATCATGGGGGAGCTGGTGTCTTTCTCCAGCAGTCACTGTGCGAGAGGTGGGGGACACCCTGGACAGGTCTCCAGTCCATCACAGGGACACCTGGGCAGGTCTCAGTCCATCACAAGGACAACTGAACAGGTCTCAGTCCATCACAGGGACACCTGGGCAGGTCTCCAGTCCATCACAGGGACACCTGGGCAGGTCTCAGTCCATCACAGGGACACCTGGACAGGTCTCCAGTCCATCACAGGGACACCTGGACAGGTCTCCAGTCCATCACAGGGACACCTGGACAGGTCTCAGTCCATCACAGGGACACCTGGACAGGTCTCATTCCATCATACGGACACCTGGACAGGTCTCATTCCATCACAGGGACACCTGGACAGGTCTCAGTCCATCACAGGGACACATGGACAGGTCTCAGTCCATCACAGGGACACCTGGACAGGTCTCAGTCCATCACAGAGGCACCTGGACAGGTTTCATTCCATCACAGGGACACCTGGAGACAAATGAGACAAACAACCATTCACTCTCTCACACCTTAAGAGTTACTGTTTACCTAACATGCATGTTTTTGGTCTGTGGGAGGAAACACGTGTGCACAAGGAGAACATGTAAACTCCACACAGAGAGGCCAGGAGGCAATCTTGTAACAACAGCTCTAACCGCTTCTCCACCGTACCGCCTAGCCAAAATATCCCTTCAAGTAAAAGTTTAGCACAGTTGAAGAACTGCATGTTGCCTGCTTTATTTCACATCAGCCTCACATTTAGAAAACGGGCCATGACTCGTGACCCGATTCTCAGCTGTTTCTGCATCAAACTCCAGCTCAACATTTGTTACTGGGCAGATTTTAATGGGGAAACAAAAAGTTGTTTTTGGGGTCATTTCAAGTCAATATGGCTGCCACAGCTCTTAGACGACACAGAAATGCCTCCTGTACTGAGCAAAAATTTATTGTGGTTGTAACTGAGTCTTTCATAACATACTTTGAATCAACTCTATCGTCTGTTAGCAAAATATCTCATGAGCTAATGGACAGATTTTACCCAAACACTCAAAATGTTCATTAGATTTACATCTAAAAACATTAACTTTCTGTGTTTACCCAACTTAAAATGGCCGCCACAGCTAACCGACATTAACCAACACATAACTGGTAAATGGACTATTTATACAGCACCGTTCTGTCTTATCAAGACACTCAAAGTGCTTTACAACACAATCTGTGTCCTCATTTACCCATTCATACAGCACTCTACTAGATCTCTACAAAAACTAATCAGAGCTTTATCACATTAATACACCGATGGGACACACATCAGAGGCAATGAGGGGTTCAGTGTCTTGCCCAGGGACACTTCAGCATGTGACTACTGGTGGAATTGAACCCTCAACTCTTGCATTGGAGGACGACTGCTCTAACCTTTCTGCCACAGCTGCCCCATAAATGTGAACCGGCATTTCTGGATTCAAATCAATGACATGACAGTTCCTGTCCCACAAGGTTCTTAAGGTCAAGATTTTTGACCTTAGACTTAGTTTTTGACATGGGCCTAGTCCACTACAAATGGCTATAAGTGTGTCGAATGTACAACTCAGCATATTACATAGAATTGTGCATAATGTTATTAACAAAGACTGACCAAAACTTTTTTTTTTTTTATAATGCCGACATCAAACTCGGAGTTGAATGGCAGCATGTGTAGCTATTTGCGTTTCACATTTTTTATTTAAACTTTACTGATTGTACGCTTCATGATGAAGGCCAGATGTCGAAGCGTGTTGGTCAGTTGATGAAGTTGTTTTCTTTGTTTTGCTGAGTCTGGACTACCTCACATGCATATTTATCCACAAGCTCATTATCATTTACGGCTAATTACCCAGCAGCGCTGTCCCTTTGCATGTTGGGGTCAGGCTGTATTTAAGATGGATACCTCTCACAAACTTTTCTTTTTTTGCACTTTCAGCTTTTCAAGTGATGGAAAATGTTCAGGCATTGTTCTAAAGCTGTAGGAGCAGGAGATAAGGCACTGCAGCGTTTCACAATGTGATAAATTTAGGTCCTCCAGGGTCTCTGTTCTAATTAACTGTCTTTCCTGAGGCTGTATTTTATGAACTGTTGCACGGCCGCGTTAAAGCGGCACTGATAGAAACTGAAGGAACTGTTGGATTGCCTTTTCTTTAATTAGAACGCTAAACTTAAAGCTTTGAATCAAGTGAAAAACTTTACTTCTGACAAACGTGAGTTAAAAAAAACACATTTTTGGTCATAATTCTTTAATTCTTTTTATCACACGAAGCAACCACTCACATTATACTAAAAATATACGTTTGAAGACGTGAACTTGTTGTTTATGCCTTGTGGAATATTTCTTTTGAAAATTTTTATTCCTCTTTTTCTGGATGTAAATCGCCTTTTTGGATGATTACCTCCTCTGGTATCAGATGCTGTGCAGCTGGATGGATTTTTATCAAAACTTTTTATTTTTGGACATTTGTTATGATGCGTAACCATGGCAACATGGTGTTTGTTTACAACTGGGAGCAGCTGATTAACGTCTCAAAAGCTCAAATAATATCTCAACTACAGCCCCAAATCCCACATGAGTTGAAAAAGAGGTGCCATGGATGCATTCCCGTCTACCTGGCGGTGGTACTCAAGTATCTTATCGCTGAGATCCTGGAGCTGACAGGAAGCGTGGCTCCTGACAACAAGAAGACCAGGATCATCCCTCGACACTTGCAGCTGGCTGTCCGCAAAGATGAGGAGTTCAACAAGCTGCTGGGAGGAGTGACCATCGCTCAAGGAGGAGTTCTGCCCAACATGCAGGTGGTCTTGCTGCCCAAGAAGACCGAGAAGGACTAGTCTGAATAGAAGGATCAACATCTGCAATGGTTTCTTCAGATCCGCTGTAAGACAGACTGCTACAAGAGATCCTTCCTGCCCACAGCCATCAGCATCTAGAACAACTCTTTAATGAAACCAGTATGATGAGTTACAACAACATTTAATTTCCCTTTGGGATTAATGAAGTATTTTTAATTGAATTGAATTTAAATAACTGAAAAGTTTATTCTTCAGTCTCTGAACAGTTGCTTTGGTTTTGCTATAAAACAAATAAATAGCCAAACTTTTCTGGTTTGAAAGTATACCGTCTGCTTCTCTGTAGCCAACACTGATTTTGAAAGCAAAATGAAAAACCTCTTCCTTTCTGTGTTGTAGCCCCTGAAGCTGAGCTGTGAGCTGTGCAGCATCGTTTCCAGCTCTGGTCAGATGCTGGGTCAGGCTGTCGGCCCGCAGATCGACCGCTCTCCCTGCATTTGGCGGATGAACAACGCTCCCACGCGGGGGTTTGAGAACGACGTCGGCCGGCAGACCACTCTCAGGGTGGTCTCCCACACCAGCGTCCCTCTGCTGCTGCAGAAGCCTCAGTACTTCTTCGGACAGAGCAACGACACCGTCTACGTGGTTTGGGGACCGCTGCGGAACATGAGAAAGGACGGGAAGGGCATTGTTTACAACATGCTGCGCCAGGCGTCTGAGAACTACCCCCACGCTCGAATCTACGTCACCACAGAGGACAGGATGAACTACTGTGACATGGTCTTCAAGAAGGAGACGGGAAAGGACAGGTGAGCCTAACATCTAACGTCAACACAGAATTTCACTTTTGTCTCTCAAACAGCTGTTTTGAATATTGATCTTGTAGATGCAGATTATCCAGTTTTGTCCGTGTCTGTGTGTTTGTTTGTTTGTGGCACTATCAAAAATGTTATAAAATATTGAAGGGATTTTTGTGACCTTTCACAAAGTAATTACAGGATGAACATTTAAAACCAGCTACCACAGCTAGGTAACAATATCCAACACAAAAAATTACAATAACTTTTTTTTTTTTACAAAACTAAATCGGCTGTGGTAGTAGCTGGGAGTCATCCTCAACAGACTTTCTGAGCACAGCATAATTTCCAACATTTGACTAAAATGACAAACTGTCCCTTCTCAGCTCGAGATGATTTTCTCCCTTTTTGCAAAGCAAAGAGGCGCTGTTAGAAATACCATCCATTAGTGCATGTTGGGAGCAGAATAAGTTGAAAAATAAGTGCCTTTTATTGTGGTGTGTGAACATCTACATGCAAGAAAGGTCAATGTTGAAAATTGGGTTGCCACGTCAAAATCCAAGATGGCCGCCACATGTAAATCAGCCACCCCAATTATTTGAGAAAAGTATGCTTTCTAGTTTTTATATTGTTTAAAAGTATAATTTTCTCAAATGATTGGGGTGGCCAAAGATTAATCTACGGTGGCCAAGGCCACCATTGACCACCCATTGGCGCCGTCTTTGTGCCTGGTCGGTGGTGGTGGATAAAATTGTTTTCTCCAATTGCCAGGATCCATCAAGCTGTGCTGCCTCGTGCAAGCAAAAAAATTAAAATAAATAAAATTACTTCTGCTCTTCTACACAGTGAAACTCCTGCCCATTTGAATATCTTGCACCAAAAACATTTAGGTTTACTTGCATTCCCTGTTCACTTCCAGTCCAGACAAACACTCAGCTTGAAAAGTACAATTATTATTACTAAAACTACAACAACAAAAAATTCTACTAAAACTTCAAGTACTATTCAAGTACCTCAGTGATGGGGTACATCAACGTACCACTTGTTGTACATTATAAAACTGGCATGAAAGAATTGTTAGGTCTTTAATTTTCTTTGATTTTTATCCTTTTCCTGAGCTTTTATCAACCTAACTTTGCCTCTGAGGAGCCTTAACATGACAGAGGGGGGTATTTTTATAAAAAGAGTTTTTAACAAGAGCCTCAGAGGGAAAGTGATCAGCTAAATGTCGATCTGGGGAAAAGTTCAGTTAATTAGGTAGCATGGCTTTGGCAGCTTTTCTAAGACGTAGCTGCTTCCATATCTTGACATTCCTGCAGAAACAAGAACGCAGATCAATACAAGCATTGTTTTTGTGCGATTTATCATCATCATTTGTAGGTGACATTTTGCGACAGCGTGTATTGTAAAACTGCACCCCGTACCTTAAAGACAGAACCCACCAGGTTTTTCCTGTTTCTAATATTTCCCCGGAGAGAATTACAGGTTAATGACTGAGAACGAGGCTGCAGGCGGTTGTGTAGGGTAAAGCTCATTTCTGCAGAGCTCTGCGCTCCTGCATGTCATAAAAATCTCTCTTAACTTCTTAAGAGGATTAAAATGTTTGGCGTTAGGCGTAGCATCCATTCTATTTGTGCTCCATTGTGCGGCTCTTATTCGGGATGGCAGGGTTAACACAGAATTTCTTGTTGAGCATCCATCTTGGCTCAGCCGTGCAGAATGAGGTGTGGGATTAGGATGGGATGCTCCGGGAGAGGAATCTCATGACGGGAAATAATGCTCCTGGATAAGATGCAGGGCTTCGATCAATGCTGATTGGTAACACAGACCTGTCTCGAGGTGCAACAACGAACCCCATTGAATGAATGTGATTAGGTCTGTCGCGATAAACAATAAATCAATTAATCTCATGATAAATGAAACTTATCGACCTCATTTTCATTTATCGGCTTTATCGTTTCTTCATGTCTCTCTCTCTACTGAAGACACTGGATGACAAAAGGCTCAACTCCCTTTCTCTTTTCTCTTTAAAATCCATTTAACCATCCAAAATATCATTTTTGGATTGTTAAAAGCAGCTAAGCTGAGAAGCTAAGCTATGAGCTAAGCTAATAAGTCGACCTTGGGGAAAAAACCTCTGTCTTGTCGAAGCTCCAAAATTCACTGTTGAAATCCGTGTCTTCGTGTAAAAAGTTGTTTTTCTCTGCAAAAAGAAGCTGAGAAATTGTTTACTGATTTTTAATTAAAAGCTTTGTGTGAAAAATGCTATGCTAAAGAGCTCAAACTACACCGAGCGTCCGCCATTTTGAGAACTGATAAAGAGGAAGGAGAGACAGCCCATGTCACATCAAGGGGCCTCCCTCCCATTTTTCTTAAAGAGACACGCTGCTCGCTCTCTCACTATCCATTCATCAGTTCAAACAGTCTTATACTCCCATCTGGAGGTCAAAATAAGGTACTGCACTCAAAACAAATTAACATTTCTTCTTAAATTTGACAATAATTACTAATTATTGTCAAGTTTCAAACAATATTATCGTTTATCGCAATAATTTCTGAGACAATTAATCACCCAGCAAAATGTATCGTGACAGGCCTATATGTTATAAAGTTGTTATTCTCAACTGTTGTCTCAAACTTGGCTGCAGAAATACAAGTGTCCATGGAAACAATTTTAAATTATCTAAAGCAGAGAGTATTTGAATGTAATCAGGAGAGAAAGTGGGCTAATACAGTGTGATTCATCCCTGCAGCTTTTTGTTACCTATAGCCTCATACAGTCTTTGAGCACTTTCACTGCAGCAGCTCTTCCACTTTTACCCGGTAATTTGTGTGTATTTGTGCGTTCACTGTCAGCGCTCGCTGCATGGTACTTGGGAAAAGATGGAACAGTGATCAACACAACTCTAATTATCTACACGACGACTCAGCTTCCACTTGCTTGATCAAGAGGAGCGCAGCGCAGAGCCGAGCGAGTCTCCAGCAGACCTTGTAACCGGCTGTCAGGCTGCGATTCAAGCGGCCTGTCAGGAAACTGTCATTTCTGCACCGAGCTGAGGAATTAAAGTCTGGAAGAATTAAACGAGGGGTTATCGTGATCTAGAAGTGCAGAGCAGTACAGCTGATTTAAGTCAGGAACAGGTGCAAAGGAAGGAAACTACTTCTGCATCAGCAGCAGAGCGATGCTCAGATTGAAGAGGAAGCTGAAAAGCTTTGAAACCGTAGCAGACCCAGTTTCCAAGATGTCTTGATCAATTTTTTTTTGTTCCCAACACAGATCCGAATTATTCAAAAATAGAAATTGCGACTCAATCTGACACTTGCTTTATTGAGCATGTTTTACAGCACAACCAGGGAGATTATAAAACCGCAGATTATGTGTAATCTGTTAGCGCTGGAAGTTTAGTCATTTTTATGTTGGCTAATGGCGATGAACAGTTTTTGATGCCAACAGTTAATACCAAAGATTTAAGTAAAAATGTGATGCAATGTGCACTGTTCAGAGTATGTGTTGGGGATAAAGCTCAGCTACTACCACACCAAATCTTTGCTTCACATCTGTAAAACCTGACAAATTACAGCTATTTTTGTTTTGGCTAAAGTCAGTTAACTGTGGCAGCCATCTTAAATTGGACTGACCTAAAGTGTCAATGAGCTGTAAACATTCATCCAATGATTAATTAAAATATATACATTGTTTTTCTATTTTAGGGTTTTTGGCTAACAGACAAACAAAGTTAATGCTAATTTTGATTACAAAAAATAAAACTAGCACCTTAGCACTCAACCTATGTGTTGATTATGACTCATCTACAATCACATTACATTTTAGCCAGCTCACTATCTGTAAAATTGAAAAATACACAGACTTGGGAAAAAACATTATTTCCTTTAACAGTAGGTGATAAAACAATAGTTCAGATCTTTCAGTGGAGTTGTAAAGTTTTTTTTTTTATGTAGCCATGGATTAGAGCTGTCATTTCTAACCCGAACCTGGAGACTGGCCCCGCCCGACACAGACTGGGATCAGGCCGGACATAATAATGTGCGGGCCGGGTCTTTACTCAGCCGTGTACGTCCGCCGACTGTTAATAACTACCGTATTTTTTTGCTATAGAATCACGTTTTTTTGCATAATTTGCATGCCCTGCGACTTATATGCTGAAGGGACTTATTTATGGATTTTTCCCAATCCTAATAAACCAATTTTTGTCTGACAGTTTTCATTCATTCTGGCATGGAAAATATTGAACACTAACATTTTCAGCCGCTAGATGGCATTCGAATAGTATGACATGCCGTTGTGTCATGTAATAGATAAAAGTGGCTATTAATGACACAATCAGCTTGCCACAGTCTGCTACCGTCGTCCAGCTCACCTGGAGAAACTGTCAAATCAGTTTCATTTCGCTGCGCCGCCCCAGTGAAATGCAGCTGATTTGACCATTGAAGTGCATTTATTAAGTAAAAGTTAAACTGAGACACACCTTTGCTATAAAGTTGAGCAAGCAAATAATTGTTTTTAGGTGTTTATCTTGTTAAATTTCAAAGAAACGCTCAGCGACTTGTCCCTCTGCGCGTTCCTGCTTCTGTATATTGGTTTTTGAAATGCAGCTGATTTGACCGTCAAAGTGCAAATTTATTAAGGAAATGTTAGACTGAGACGCACCTTTACTATAATTTTGAGCAAACAAATAATTGTTTTTAAGTGTTAATCTTGTTTAATTCTTGTTAAAGTCCTCCCGTGCACACTCCCGCATTCGCCATTTGGCAGCCAATCGATTTTTGGCACAACACTGGCCCACATTTCCTGATTGTCAGCGGTGACGTGTAATAGATGCGACGTATACGGCGAAGCAACGTATTTATGGATTTTTCCACTTTATTGGACATTTTTGGACTGATGCAACTTATTGGGCGGTGTGACATGTACGGTGGAAAATATTAGCATTCAAAGCTTAATTAAAAATGTCGGGGTTTGTTTCGGCTTCGGACCTGTAATTACTGTTAAT